CATGGTATTTTCAGCATTCTTTGCCAACACCACAACTCAAAAGCATCGACTCTTCTTCAGTCTTCCTTATTCATTGTCCAGTTCTCACATGCACATGAGGCGATTGAAAATACCATGGCTTGGGTTAGGTACACTGGGCAATCTACTTCCATAGAGATACCACCTCAGAAACCCAAGGAGGAGTTGCTTTGAGTCAGAACTGACTCGACAGCAATTAGTTTTTGTTTTTTTTTTTTTATTTTTGGGTTAGGTGCATCTTACTCTTCAAGGAGATATCTTTGCTCTTCAGCACTTGAAAAAGGTTTTTTGCCACTGATTTGCCCAGTATAATACATATTTTGATGTTTTGACTGCTATTTCCATTGGCGTTGATGCTAGTACCAAGTAATATGAAGTCTTTGACAACTTTAGTCTTTCCTCCATCTATCACGATGTTGCTTACTGGTCCAGTTAGGAGGAATTTTGTTTTCTTTATGTTGAGGTGTAATCCGTACTGCAGACTGTAGTCTTTAATCTTCATCAATAAGTGCTCCATGTCATCCTCACTTTCAACAAGCAAAGTTGTGTCATCTGCATATCTCAGGTTGTCAATGAGCCTTCCTCCAATCCTGATGCCGCATTCTTCTTAATATAGTCCAGCTTCTCAGATTATTTGCTCAGTATACAGATTCAATAAGTATGGTGAAAGGATACAACCCTGATGCACTCACTTCCTGATTTAAAACTATGCAGTATCCCCTTGTTCTGTTCGAATGACAACCTCTTGGTCTATGTACAGGTTCCTCATGAGTACAATTAAATGTTCTATTCTTCTTAATGTTGTCCATAATTTGTTATGATCCACACAACTGAATGCCTTTGCTTAGTCAATAAAACCCAAGTAAACATCTTTCTGGTATTGTTTGCCTTGAGCCAAGATCCATTTGATATTAGCTATGATATCCCTTATTCCATGTCCTCTTCTGAATCCAGCTTGCATTTCTAGAAGTTCTCTATCAATATATTGCTGCAACTATTTTTGAATTATCTTCAGTAAGATTTTACTTGCCTGTGATATCAATGATATTCTTCAATAATTTTCACATTCTATTGAATCATCTTTCTTTGGAATGGGTACAAATAAGGATTTCTTCCAGTCAATTGGCCAGGTAGCTGTCTTCCACATCTCTTGGCATAGCTGAGTGAGTGCCTGCAGTGCGGCATCTGTTTGTTGAAATATCTCAGTAGGTATTCAGTCAAGTCCTTGTTCTTTGCTAATTCGTTCAGTACAGCTTTGACTTCTTCCTTCCATACCTTTGGTTCTCAATCATATGCCAGCTCCTGAAATGGATGAAGATCAACCAATTCTTTTTGGTACAGTGACTCTGTGTATTCCTTCCATCTTCTTTTGATATTTCCTGCATCATTCAATGTTTTGCCTATGTTGTTGTTGTTGTTGTTTACCGTCGAGTCGGCCCCGACTCATAGCGACCCCTCCTTGGGTTTCCGAGGCAGTATCACTACGGAAGTAGGATTGCCCAACCTTCCTTCCGAGGAGTGGCTGGTGGGTTTGAACCACCAGCCTTCTGGTGAGCAGTCAAGTGCCTTAGGCACTATGCTACCAGAGCTCCCTATAGAATCTTTCAGTATTGCAATTCAAGGCTTAAATTTTTTCCTCAGTTCCTTCAGCTTGAGAAATATGGAGGATGTTTTTCCCTTTTGGTTTTCTAACTCCAGGTCTTTGCACATTTCATTATAATAATTGACTTTGTCTTCTTGAGCTGCTCTTTGAAATCTTCTGCTCAGTTCCTTTCTGTCAATTCTTCCATTTGCTTTAGCTACTCTCTGTTCAAGGGCAAGTTTCAGAGGCTCTTCTGACATCCATTTTGATCTTTTCTTCCTTTCCTGTCTTTTTAATGACTTTTTGCTTTCTTCATGGATGATATTCTTGATGCCATCCCATAGTACCTCTGGTTTTTGGTCATTGGTGTTCAATGCATCAAATCTATTCTTTATATAGTCTCCAAATTCAGGAGGGATATAATCAAGGTCATATTTAGGCTCTCATGGACATCTTTTAATTATTTTTCACTTCAACTTGAACTTGTATATGAGCAGTTGATTGTCTGTTCCACAGTCAGCTCCTGGCCTTGTTTTGGCTGAAGATATTGAGCCTCTCCATCGCCTCTTGCCACAGATGTAGTCAGTCTGATTCCTGTGTACTCCATCTAGTGTACAGGTATAGCCACGATTTGTGTTGTTGAAAAGGTATTTGCAATGAATAAGTTGTTGGTCTGGCAGAATTATATCATGTGATCTCCAGCGTCATTTATATCACCAGGGCCATATTTTCCAACTACCGCTGATTCTTCTTTGTTTCCAACTTTTGCATTCCAATCACCAGTGATAATCAACACATCTTGATTCCATGTTCGGTCAATTTCAGACTCCAGAAGTTGTTAGAAATCTTTAATTTCCTCATATTTGACTTTGGTGGTTGCTGTGTAAATTTGAATAATAGTAGTATTAACTAGTCTTCCTCATAGGAGTATGGATATTATCCTATCACTGACAGCATTGTACTTCAGGATAGATCTTGATACATTCTTTGTGATGATGAATGTCACGCCATTCTTCTTCAATTTGTCATTCCCAACATAGTAGGTCATCTGATTCAAAGTGGCCAAAAATGGTCCATTTCAGCTCCCTAATGCCTATGATATCAGTCTTTATGCATTCCATTTCATTTTTGACAATTTCCAATATTCCTAGATCCATCCTTTGTATATTTCATGTTCCAGTTATTAATGGATGTTTGCAGCTGTTTCTTCTCATCTTGAGAACATGCCGCATGAGCAAATGGAGGTCCTGAAAGCTTTCCTCTATCCACATCATTAAGGTCAGCTCTACTCTGAGGAGGCAGCTCTTCTCCAGTCGTGTTTTTAGTTTCTTCCGACCTGAGGGTCTGTCTCATCTTCCAGCATTATATCACACAATGTTTCAGGGCTATTCATAAAGTTTTCCAATAATATATCAGATAGTGTTTCACTGCTGTTCATAAGGTTTTCACTGACCAATTATTTGAGAAGTAGATGGCCTCTTCCTTTTTCTGAGTCTGTCTTAGTCTGGAAGCACCTCTGAAACCTGTCCATAATGGGTAACCCTGCTAGCATTTGAAACACCAGTGTTATACCCTCCAGCCTCAGAGCAAAACTCAAGCCACCACAGTATGACACACTGACAGGCAAGTTTGTCTCCCCTAGTTGTTCTAAACTGCTCTGCTCATTTCCTGGTCTCCTCCACCCTGCTTGCTTACCCAGCCTGACCCTGAGGTCAGGCAGTCACCTTCCTTCTGCTGGTGTGAGGGCTGGCTTAGTGCATCCTGCCCCTGGGGTGCTCCATGCATAACAACATCCACCTTCCACTTCGCATGTTTATCATGTGATAAATAAATATTTGAATAAGAGGTTTTAAGTGAGCATATACCCACTGCCATCTAGCCCATTCTACCTCATCATGACCATCCTATATCACAGAATAGAAATTCCCCACAGGGTTTCCAAGGCTGTAAATTTTTATAGAAGCAGAGTGCTTCATCTTTATCCCATGAAGCATCTGGTAGGTTTGAACTGCCAAACTTTTGGTCAGCAGTCCAATGCTTTAACCATCGTACCAAGTGTTAAATGACGGTGATAGAAAAACTTAAGAGAAAAATGAACATCCATGTATACATAAAATCATTGACTAGCAGCTGCTTGAGAAACACTTTAAACTACTGACTTTTAGTTCTACCTTTCCCTCTAACTAGCTGTGTGATTTTAGATATGTCACTTGATATTTGTGTCTTGGTTTCTTTAAAAGAAAATAAGATTGTCTTACTCTCAGGGTTGTTCTCATAGTTGAGTAAATTCGTGGATATAAAAGTGTTGAGAACTGAAAAACACAATACAGATAAACATTAGGTAGAATTGTTTTCATTGTTTCATGCTGCACAATTACTTGTATTTGAGGTACAGTTGTCCCCTGGATGAATTTAGGGTATTATATTTTTGGAGCAGTTACCTTGGTCCTATTTCTAGACTCCCAGGGACAGGCTAGTGCTTCACTTCCTCCTCTGGGATCTTCCATCTGGGGATCCAGAAGGCAGGTCAGGTCATGACCTACATTAAGTCACTGCCTGTTACGCAAGCATGGAGTCCTTTTAGCTTTTCTTATTTTATTTTAAACTAATATTCATCAACATATTTTCAGCAAAGATCCAGAATTACAAGCTAATGTTCTAAAATGCATGTGGCATAGGTCCCTGTACAACTTCATTGAATTGCAGATTTCATTTTCCACCTGGAATTTCCCATTTCTTCTGATTTGCTCTTCAGTATTCACTCACTCATTCATTCATTCATCAGACATTTATGGAGGCCTTACTATTTTCCAGGCACTGGATAACAAACATGAGTAAGATACATTGTTTTTAGATGAATTAAAGGTCCTTGATGTACCTGGCATTTAGTAGGCTTTCAGTTGATATTTATTATTTTTCTTTCCTACACTGCAAATTAGTGAATTAACCTACATAAAGCATATTTGACTTCTATGAAGTGTCCAGAAGAGATGGACAGTGTTGTTAGCATAGAACATCTGTAGGTAGCATAGATTGTTTTTCAAGGGACAAGGTATAGACATGTAAATTCCACATTGATCTCATCAGAATAAGTAAAATATATATATATATATATATATATATATATATTGGCCATACCTCAATTTCATACACAGCTCATAGAGTGACTTCAGCTTTTTTCCTGTCTTCATCCCTTGGTCCATTCTTCACTAAAGCATTTGTGGATGTAAAGTTAAATGGAGAAGCATGAGGAATAGGGCAAAAATCATCCAAACTTCCTTGTCCCACTCCCTCACTCTGTAATCTCAAAAGGCAATATTGGTAATAATATATTATTTGTAAAGACTTCTCTTATTATCTTTCTTCTCCTTGACATTCATCTAATTGTTTCCTTTTTTAGGCAGCCAGTGAGATGAAACAGCAAAAACATTCAATGAAAGTCTCTTTCATTTCACAAGAGGCATTTTCAGCACCAGCACCATCAAAGTACTCAACAGGTGCAGACTCCACGGGCTATGGTATGGTTCTTCTCTTCAAAAGCAGAATTGGCTCCTCAGACCTTACAGGAGGAAGAGGTTATGCTAGACTGAAAAGAGCATTGGGCTGGGAGTCAGGAGGCTGGCCTTTGCATCCTTGTTCCTCCTTCTTAGCTTTGGGACTTGGACAGATCACTCCAGCTCTTACACTTGTCTTATCTATCATGGGGATAATGTTCCTTGCCTGTTACTTATTGAATAGAACAGCACTAGAACACAGCAGGCCTTCATACATCTATTTGAATCTGAGGCTTACAAATTATTCTTCCATAATCTCTCAAAATGGATTGTGTTTAGTTCATGAATAATATCCCTTAAAATTGAAACAAACTTGGCCTTCATATGTTGATGTAAGCTATTTAAAGACTGTTAATTTTCATTGCCTAAAGAAATTGGTATTCCCTTTTTGTCTTGTAATTCCTGGCTTGAATTATGCTGATTGAGGGTTGAAAATTCAATTTCAAAATGAATAATGGGTATTTTCAGTTTGCTTTTATGCAATACAAGTCAGTAAAAAATAGGCTGTTTAAAACACTATGCTTACCAATGATAACACATAAAACTGCATTAATTTAGCAGACTTGAAACCTTTATGGTGTCTGCCTTTTACATATTCTTCCATAAATATTAATCCAAGAAAAGTTTACCAAGCATATATCGTTTTAAAGCACTTAATTTTTACTAAAATACTTGATGTCAGCAAACTATGGCCCATGGGCCAAATCTGGCCACCATCTGTTTTTGTATAGCCTGCTTACCAAAAAATAATTTTCACATTTTTGGAAGTTTGAAAAAAAATTTTTTCAAAAAGTATTTCACACAATTATATGAAATTAAGATTTCAGTGTTCATAGATAAGGTTTTATTAGAACAGTCATCTGTTTAGTAAGTTGTCTAAGGCTGCTTTCACACTATAATAGCAGAGTTGAATGGCTACAACAGAGACTGTATTTACTACCTGTTCTTATTACCAAAAAAGTTTGCTGACCCCTGATATAGACCTGTTAAGTTTGGTTTGTGTTTTTTTAACCTTTTATTGTCTTTTAGGTGAAAGTTCACACAGCAAATTAGATCTCATATAGTTGATTGTTTAAAGGAACACATTCCTCATGGGTATTATTGTTTATTTTATAGGTTAATATATTATTTGACTGAAAAGTGACCTCTAAGTTAAAAGGGAGTCTTAGGGCAATAATCTCAGGGGTTTCTTTAGTCTCCATCAGACTGATCCTTTTATTTTATTATTGATTTCAGTTTTGTTCTACAAGACCAATTGAGATTTGATAATACATATCACATATTCGTAAGAACCTTTGGTGGTGCAGTGGTTAATGCATTCAGCAGTTAACCAGAAAGTCATTGGTTCAAATCCACCAGTCACTCCATGGGAGAAAGATGAGGCAGTCTGCTTCCATAAAGATTTACAGCCTTGGAAACCCTATACGGCAGGTCTACTCTGTTCTAAAGGGTTCCTGTAAGTTGGAATCGATTCAATGTCAGTGGGTATCACATATTTATACCTACATAAGGGAACCCTGATAGCATAATGGTTAAGCATGTAGCTGGTAATTCAAAGGTTAGAGGTTTGAAGCCATCCAGCAGCTTTGCGGGAGAAAGATCTAGCAATCTGCTCACATAAAGATTAAAAAAAAAAAAAACTAAACCCACTGCCATTAAGTCAATCCTGATTCATAGTGATCCCATAGGACAGAGTAGAATTGCCCCATAGGGTTTCCAAGTCTATAAATCTTTATGACAGCAGACTGTCTCATTTTTCTCCTGAGAAGAGGCTGGTGGGTTCAAACCACCGACATTTTGGTTATCAGCCCAGTGCTTTAACCACAGGGTCACCAGAGCTCCTTCCTGTAAAGATTACAACCTAGAAAACCTTATAGTACAGTTCTACTCTGTCACAATGAATGAGTCAAAATTGACTTGACAGCACTTAACAATGAAAACAACAAATAACTACAGACTAGCAATTAGTCATCTTGAAATTTAATCTATGGAATTTCTATTCATTCAGTCATCCATTACCAAACATTTATTGAGAGCTTAGTATGAGTCGTGCTTTGAGCTGGATTCTATGAGAGAAATAACTACAGAGTTTGATTCAAGACTGGCAAGGGTGAGACAAAAGTGGAGGAGGAATGAAATACCATCTCGAGAATTAGCACTTGAGACATTGCTTGTCATTTACAAAAAATAAATGAACTTTTTAAAGCATCCACAAAATTGTGCCACTATTGTACATTGTTTTAAATTAATAGGAAATGTGCAATGAGAAATATATATTCTATAATAACTCTATAGACAAACTAGGTTTACAACTTAATAATAACTAATAATACATTTTTGGTTGTTACTAATTTTTGTGTCATTAAATTTTTAACTCTTAGGTGGGAATCTATTAGACTAATAAATTCCACTGTGCATAATGAATGCCTGTAATATGCCAGATGAGTGGCTGGGCACCTCACACACATTGTTTGTTTAATCCCTCTAGCCTCTTGGATAATGGCCACATGCATTTTTCTGATGATGAATGAGCCTCAGTTTCATCCACATATTAATTTCCTAAACCGAAAAAAAAAAAAAAAAGCCGCACTGCCGTCAAGTTGGATCCAACTCATAACAACCCTTCCTTGGATTTCCAAGGTGGTATCAATACAGTAGATTGCCCAATCTTCCTTCTGAGGAGTGGCTGGTGGGTTTGAACTGCCAGCCTTCTGGTTAGCAGTCAAATGCCTTAGGCCCAAATCCATACCCAAACAATCAACTATATGAGACCAGACAGTCAACATTTACCCAAAAGCAAAGGTGGGGAGGCAAGAAGGAGCAGGGAAGCTGGATAGATGGGGTAGACAGGGTAGAAATGGGGAGAGTGCTGATGCAATGGGGGATTGTAACCAATGTCAAGGAATAATTTGTATACAAATTGTTGAACAGGAATCTAATTTGCTATGTAAACTTTCACCTAAAAGACAATAGAAGGTTAAAAAATGCAAACCAAATTTTCTCATACCAAAATCTATACATTTTTGTCATAAAATTCATGATTATTGCTTAGTCAGAGCAGAACCTCTCACAGTGTTACCAGAGCCCATCTCCTTTTTCTGGCAAACCAGAGAGTATTTCAGGATGTGGCCCATAGAGTTTATGTCCAGTCCTGCTGTTGTAGTGTGGAAGCAACCGTAGACTAGATGTAAATCAGTAAGTATGACAATGTTCCATATAGTTTTACTTATGGACAACTGAAATTTGAATTTTGTATAATTTTCACGTGCCACAAAATATTATTTTTCCTTTTTTGTTTGTTTTGTTTCTCCATCCTTTTAAATATGCAGAAATCAGTGTCAGTCCATGGATATATAGTCTCTGACCCCTGCTTTTACATACATTTAAGGAACATTGTGAAGCTCATCTCAGCCCTTGTACATGAGCTGCATGCAGCTGACCATTAGCTGGGACCCTCTATTATCAGCCCTTTACTGAATTATATCACCATGGAAGAATCAGTATTCATAATGATCAACCTTAGTTGTCTCTGGAGGCTATTCTGCATACAAGATGTCCTTGAAACTTTATAACATTTCCAATGTTTTGATTTTCTAGTGGGTTAGTTTCAGTCATCAAGAAAATATACATATGCAGGATTTATGCACCTGTTAAGTGCTCTGCTCTGCTACTCACTGAAAGGTTGGTGGTTCAAACCCACTCAGCTGCTCTGAAGGAGAAAGACCTGGTGATCTGAACCCATAAATATTACAGCCAAGAAAACCCTATGGGACAGTTCTCCTGGGTCACATGGCCTGGCTATGTGTTAGAATCAACTCAGCAGTACCCAGTGATAACAACAAGGACTTATGCTATATAAATGGGTGTTGTTAAACATCTTTTCTTAGTCTATAAATATTTTTTCTCTAATTTTTTTTAAAAATATTTAAAAAAGAAACCTTTATAAAATTGTAATACTCTTTTAACAAGCTTTTCATTTATGGACACAGTAATTAATTCTTCAGTGTTCTGTTTTTATTATTTTTTACTATATATAATTCATTAGGGGATCATTTTTAGGTGATCATTATTTTGGTACATTTTACTTTATTGATTAAATCCTTTGTACATCTTGATTTGTATGATTCTCTAACTGAAAGTATTTAAACATTTCTTAATTAGTAGCCTACAACTCAGAATATATTGTCATGACAACCTGTATTTTCACTATGTCATGTACTAGTATGTATATAATAATTTAATTATCTTAAATTTTCCCATACCAGATTTTATGGTGTATTTTGAGATTTTAAAAATTCTTTGTTTAACTAAAATCTATGAAAGTCTCAGATTGATAGTTTGGGGTGGAAGGTTAGGGGATAGTTATTGTTTTAATCTCAAAAGTGTTATAGGAATGTCATGTTTCATCCTTGGTTGACTAGGAGTCATGACCCAGCATCTTCAATCAGGGTGTTTGGCAGAAAAAGAGTGAAATGATAACACCTGCAAACCCTGCAGGTCCCCAGGTAATGGGGTGTGCAAGCTGAGCTGCATGTCCTCGATGCGCGTCCTTGCCAGTCATTTGTGTTGATTCCTTTTCCAGGTGATTTCCAGGCTCCACTGTCAGTGGATCCTGCAACGTGTCCCATTGTCCCTGGCCAGGAAATGATTATAGAAATATCCAAGGGACGTTCTGGCCTTGGTCTCAGCATTGTGGGAGGAAAAGACACACCCCTGGTAAGTTTCTAAAAAATGAATACATCCACTGTCACAAAGTTAGTTGTTGAGTCTCCCTCTGGTCCTGGGCTGTGCCTATAAGACACTTCACTTGTTCATAGAATGGAAAAACATCATTATAAATATGTATGCATCCACATTCTGGCCACCTTTCAAGTGTTTCTCAGGTATTTAATTGTCACCAGAATTTTCTCCAAAACATCCATGTTTTTGTGGTCTTTGTCTTTACTAAATGCTTTTTAGACCAACAACATAATAGCAGCATTTAGATATAATAAGATTTAGAACAGTGCCTAGCACATTCTACATGTTCAGTAAGTATCATCTATTGTTATTATCATCACATTCATTATTACTGAATGAAATGCTAGATTAAAAGTATACATCAATTATTCCAGTCCAACAATTTAGGCTTTTGGTTTATTCTTACTATGTTCGTGTGTGTGTGTGTTTTATTTTTTAAAGTGATACACAATGTTAGTTTTTGCTTGCATGGTTGAACTATTGTTTTAGTACCTTTTCTTTATCATTAATCATTGGTGCCAATAAAATATTAATCTTTTCCTGGATTTCGATTTACTCAGTTGGTGTCATTGACCATTTTATATATGTTCAAATAGATAATACTTACATATTATATAAAATTATACTGATACAAAAGGTTATAAAATAAAAAATCTCCCTCTTATTCCTATGTCCTAATCCCATTCTCCCGACTAGTGTCTCTCTTGAGGGACAATCACGCTTCTTAAGTAATATGTTTTTAAATGAATACTTTGGTATTTCTTTCACTCATTTCATTTAGTAAGGCAATAATTTGTATATACCAGATTTACTGATAAAATAGATGTAAGAATAGCATGGTGGGTGTATCTGTCTTCCTCTAACTTCATGAAGGGCAGAAATAATCACCATCAGCATTCAAGACTGATTTCTGTGAGGCTGAGGTCAGACATACCTCCTTTTGCCAACCTTTTCACTAATTCTGACATCAGCTGTTCCTCCCACAGCACTCTCTACTTCCCTGTTGGGTTCGATGATTCGTTGTGGTGACCACACAGAACTCACAGACAATACTTGCCATTATGGGGTTTATTAGAGAAGTAACAGGATGAGAAACAATCAAGACAGCCTCTTTTCAGCTGTACCCACAGGCAGGACTCTCTCTTGCCCTTGGACCTTTGGCCTTCTGGGGCCCAGCCTCTGTCCTGCTTGAGCAAAAATGGTCTTTAGTTCTGCCAGTAAGTGCCCATAGGCACCACACTCAGCCAGTAAACCTCAGCCTGAAGGAACTCAGCTCTCTTGCTGCATGGGCCAGGAAGCCCACTGAACTATCTCCTGCCTATCTCCTGGTTCTGCTGCCACCATTTCTCTGCCACTGCTTCTTACCATCTCTGGTGTTATGGCTTTTTGTCTGGGTCTAGGAGGGACCCTGGGTCCAAAGGATGTGCTCTGCTCCCAAATCTTCTTCGTGGTAGTCAGGTCCCTTTCTGCTCTGGGATTTGCTCTCTTTTAAACCTAGCAGAATGATGAAACTGACCAGTCCCTTCATTAGGGTTCCATCCACCTCATTTGTGTGATCCTACCCCCCACACACAGAGTTCCTTGCCTCTTATTTGCATTGTTAACAAGCTGTCCAATTCCTTTAATGGGCCACAAGCACCTTATTTGCATACCCACACCCAGTCATTGCGTGGCTATAGTTAGAATAAGTCACTGCACTGTAATAGAAGTTTTTTTTTTGTTTTATTTTGTTCTTTCCTATTTTTGGCAGCAAGGAGCTCTGGTGTCATAGTGCCTAAAGCAAAGCGTTGGTGGTTCAAACACGCCAGCCACCCTGTGAAAGAAGGCTGGTCAATCTACTTCCGTAAAGATTTATCACCTCAGAAACCCAAAGGGGTCTCTATGAATCGGAATCAACTCAATGGCAGTGAGTTTGGTTTGGTTTTTTTTTTTTATTTTTGGCAGCAATATAATGTTTCTAGGAGCTCTGGTAGCCTAGTGCCTAAGGCACTTAACTGCTAACCAAAAGGCTGGCGGTTCAAACCCACCAGCCACTCCTCGGAAGGAAGGTTGGGCAATCTACTTCTGTAATGATACCGCCTCGGAAACCCAAGGAGGGGTCACTATGAGTCGGGTCTGACTCGACGGCACATAACAACAACAACAACATAATGTTTCTATCTTAGAACTGTTGTGGGTAGGCAGATTATACTCTTTATTTTTCTGTAATAAACATTAGTCCCCCAGAGTTCTAGGAAACTCGAGAACGGCACCTGCTACAGAAACCTGGGTCTTCACGCCTTTTAACATGTTTTCTACTTATGTTCTTTCTCTCTCCTAGCATCCTGCCGATCTAGAGAATTCAAGCATTTAGTCTGACCTTACTAGTTGACCACCTGAACCTAAATATGCTTAAAACCAAACCAAAACCAAACTCATTGCCATCGAGTTGTTTCCAGCTCATAGCGACCCCCATTGAGTTTCCAAGGTTGTAACTCTTTATGGAAGTAGATCGCCCTGTCTTCCTTCCATGGAGCTGCTGGTGTGTTTGAACCACTGACTTTCTGGTTAGCAGTAAAATGCCTTATCCACTACACCACCAGAGTTCCTTAAAGATGCTTCTTGTTGTTGTTTTTATGTGCCATCGAGTCAGACTCGACTCATAGCGACCCCTCCTTGGGTTTCCGAGGCAGTATCACTACGGAAGTAGATTGCCCCATCTTCCTTCCGAGGAGTGGCTGGTGGGTTTGAACCGCCAGCCTTCTGGTTAGCAGTCAAGTGCCTCAGCCACTATGCTACCAGAGCTCCCTAAAGATCTTAGAGGCTGATATTTATTTATTAAAGGATTTTGTCTTCTCTAGCTTGATTAAAGTATGGTTCAAGCTTTTCTTCAGAGTTCTGAATAAGTTATTTCCTAAATTACTTTGTCTTTTGCTGAGACTACTGTGTGTGGCTTCCTGCATATGCTATGTTTTTATAAGCTTACATGGAACAGGGAACACCTGGAGTTAACTGGACATAGCAACCAGTTTTGGCTTCTGCCCCCTTTCGTGGCTCTTTACTTCTTTAAGGCTCCAGAACTTTTCAACGTTTCTCAGTGTCTAGCTTCAAATATCTTCTGTTCAGCTTTCATCGCTGAACAAACTCTTTATTAGAGAGATCCCTTCTAGTGATTTATTCTAAGCTACATTTTTTTTGTTTATGTATGTTATGTGCCATCAAGTCAGACCCAACTCATAGTGGCCCCTCCTTGGGTTTCTGAGGCAGTATCACTATGGAAGTAGATT